GGTGTTTACCCAGTAATGGGATGGCTGGGTCAAATGGTATTTCTATTTCTGGATCCTTTAGGAATCGCCACACTGTCTTCCACAATGGTTACACTAATTTACACTCCCACCAACAGTGTAAAAGTGTTCCTATTTCTTCACAGCCTCTCCAGCATATTGTCTCCTGATTTTTTCATGATAGACATTCTAACTGACATGAGGTTGTATCTCAATGTGGTTTTGATTTGTATTTCTCTAATGACCAGTGATGATGAGCTTTTTTTCATGTTTGTTGGCTGCATAAATGTCTTCTTTTGAAAAGTGTTTGTTCATAATCTTTGCCCACTTTTGAATGGGTTTTTTTTTTCTTATAAATTTGTTTAAGTTCTCTGTAGATTCTAGATATTAACCCTTTGTCTGATGGGTGGATTGCAAAAACTTTTTCCCAATCTGTTAGTTGCTAGTTCACTCTATTGATAGTTTCTTTTGCTGTGCAGAAGTTCTTAAGTTTAATTAGATCCCATTTGTCTAAGAGGACACAAACAGATGGAAAAACATTCCATGCTCATGGTTAAGAAGAATCAATATTGTGAAAATAGCCATACTGCCCAGTGAAATTTATAGATTCAACGCTATCCCCATCAGGCTACCAATGACTTTCTTCACAGAATTGGAAAAAACCACCTTAAACTTCATATGGAACCAAAAAAAATCCCACATAACCAAGACAATCCCAAGCAAAACAAACAAAAAAGCTGGAGGCATCATGCTAACTGATTTCAAACTATGTTACAAGGCTACTATAATCAAAACAGCATGATGCATGACATTGGTAGCAAAACAGTGGTATAGACCAATGGAATACAACAGAGGCCTCAAAGGAATGCCATACAACTACAATGATCTGATATTTGACATACCTGAAAATAAAACAAGCAATGGGGAAAGTATTCCCTATTTAATAAATGGTATTGGGAAAACTGGCTAGCCATATGCAGAAAGCTGAAATTGGACCCCTTCCTTACATCTTATACAAAAATTAACTCTGGATGGATTAAAGATTTAAACATGAGGCCTAACACCATAAAAACTCTAGGAGAAAACCTAGGCAATACTATCCAGGACATAGGCATGGGCAAGGACCTCATGAGTAAAACACCAAAAGCAATGGCAACAAAAGCCAAAATAGACAAGTGGGATCTCATGTTGAATTCTAATCCCCAGTGCTGGAGACGGTGGGAACTGCTGAGCGGTGTCTGGATCACGAGGGTGGAGTTCTCATGAATAGTTTGGCACCATCCCCCTTGGTGCTGTATAGTAAGTGAGTTCCCCAGAGATCTGGTTGTTTGCAAGTGTGTGACAGTGACACTTCCCTGCTCTCTCTCTCTCTCTTGCTCCTACTCCTGCTTTTCCTTCTTTTTCTTCCATGACTATACATTTCCTGAGGCTTCTCCAGAAACAGAAGCCAGTATGCTTCCTGTAAAATACATTCAATTATGCATAACATGAAAGACGGGAAATGAGGAGTTTTGAATACTCCTTTGTTTTTGCTTATTTTTCAGGGAGAAAAGAAAATGATGCTGGTGGGGAGAATAGGTTGATATTTTAGAGGAAAAGATCACAGTTAAACCTTTTTTCTTTCTAAATTACCCAGTCTCAGGCATTTTCTTTATAGCAATGCAAGAAATGCCTAATTCAAAGAGTCTGCTAGAGTTTGCCTGGGTTTCACCTTTCTGCGTCACGGCCCGGAAACTCCCTTTAGGAAGTATATTAGAACAAACAATAGGAGGCCTACTTCATTTTTAGTCTATGTAGCCTGATATCCAAAGCCTGAAAAACGTGTTCACCTATATCATCTAGATTTTAGTTATTTCACACAGGTGAGTATATTTGGACTCTGTTTCTTCTTGTTGGCTGAAGCAGTGGTCCGTCTCTTCCTGCACTTTTTTTTCTTTTTAATATGGGACTTTTGAACATTTATATACATGTAGTTACTTGTTGTTCTATTTCCTATTTTTTTATAAACGATGAGATGACATTTACACTGGCAGTATGAACACAGGGCTTGAAATAGATTTTTGCGGGGAGTTCTTGTGGTATAGAAGTGACAGCAGTTTTCAGGTTCAACTTCGCCACCAATAGCATCATTATCATCCCCCTCATCTTCCTCATCGATACTTACCAAACACAATGTGTTAGTTATTTCTAGGCTCTGTGCATTTATTTACTCATTTAAATAAAATGACAACCTATAAGGCAAGTCATTAATAATCTCATTTTTAAGATGAAGAAACTGAAGCCCATAAAGCTCAAGGAATCAGCTGGTAAGCAGCCATGCAGGACAAATGCCTGGACAGTGCGGCTTCAGAGGCTCCAGGCTCAACAATGATGCTTTTTGCCTCTCACTAGCAGTTGATCACAGAAGGACCTTCCCAAGGTGCCCCAGAGGAGAGGGTTGCAGGTCAGTTGCTGATTAGAGTGACATTTGAATTACACTTGCCTAGGGCTCAGAAAGAAACAGTGGGTCTGTCCTAGACTGCTGGCTAGAAAGGTGACCCAACCAAGAGTGCTGTAGTTATAATATTGTCACCTCTGGACAAACCAAGCATTTCAAATGATATACCTGCATTAGTGCCCACCATGTGCAATGCACCATGGACCGTGGACCCAGATTGCTTGTGTTCTACCCTCTGCTCTGTTACTTTCTGCACATGAGTGTGCGTGCGTGTGTGTGTGTGTGTGTGTGTGTATGCGCATGCATGCACATGCATGCATATGTCTGTGTGATTTTAGGCAAATCACCCTATTTGTATATGAGTTAGTCATTTGTAAAATAGAAATGATATTAACAAGAACAATTAGTGTGTTTGGGGTGAGAAGAAAATGAGTTAATATATTAAAATCCATAAGATAATGCAGGGCAGAAGGTCAGCCTTTCATTAGCTGTTGTCTATGAATAGTTCATATGAACTGCTTATCATTAGTACATATGCATCTGTTTCTGTTTCTACCAGAACATGAGTCCTAGAGGGAAAGAGTGGACTAGTCAAAACGGGCATTTGCGGTTTTCTAAAGGAGAACCTGATCCATGCTAATGCAACAGAAAATGGGGGAGGGAGGTAAAGTGAGCCATTTAAGAGGGAGAATAAACAGGTGAGAGAGAAAAAAACATTCAAGGATGTCCCTGGTTTTCTGTTTTAACTAGTTGAGGAATAGGATGGTTTGGTCTATTTGTTATCTTAGACTACGTTTTTCTGATATTTTCTCCATCACCAATTCAAATATTTACCCAGATTTTGTAATCCTCAATGTGTGATTGCCAAGAGAATTGCCCAGTGAATTCACTAGGGTTCTGGGCATTTGTTGGTGCCTGGTGGACTTCTGTGAAATGACTAAAGGCAGTAAATCGACACCTATGATGAAAGCTGTCAGGGACAGGTTCCAGTTTTAACAATGTTAGAAATCACAGGAGATCTGGAAATTGTGATCCTTTCTTCTAAAATATCAACCTGTTCTCCCCATCAATGTCATTTTCTTTTCTCCCTGAAAAATAAGCAAAACCAAAGGAGTATTCAAAACTCCACACTTTTCATCTCCCATGTTATACATAATTCAATGTATTTTACAGTTTCTATCATCTTGAAAAATCACTTTTCAAATATTGAAATAATAAAAGATCCATCTAGGAACAGTAGTGCAGATATTACCTTCTGTTCCCATGGAGACCAAATTACTAGCATTCAGCTGTTTGATTATTAATGGCAGTTGCAGACACAGCGCACTCTGTGTTAGCCAGGTAAGTAGGCACATGATATTTATCATCACTTGCAAATGTGTTCAATTCACATCAACTTATGTTTATTGTTGGAATTTTAGAAATGGTTTTATTTTCTATTTTGGTTCAATTTCATTTTCTCAAGGAGTATATTACTAGTGCCTGGTAAGCAGTTTCTTGGCTACATTGCCTTGTCTGATGGGACAGCATTCTATTCATAAATCTCTCTCTCTCTCTCCGTGTGTGTGTGTGTGTGTGTGTGTGTGTGTGTGTGTGTGTGTGTGTGTGTGTGTGTAAAGCCAGGAGGAGCAGGGCATTGAACAGGGTCTCTAGAGTGGCCTGTAGCGAACCTTAGAAGGCAAGAAATCCAGTACGCAGGCGAAAGGAAAGGAGAAGGGATATTTATTGAGCAAGTACTCTGTGCTGTATAAAGTGTTCAGTTTTTGCAAGCATCATCTTTTCTAACTTTTCTAGCATGCATGAACATTTCTAAGTATGAGTCCGACTCTGCAGAGGAGCCAACAGGGGACCTGAAAAGCTAGGCATCTTTCCTAAGGGAAATTAGAGCTCAAATTTTAGCCCACATCTGTAATTCTGAAGTGTTCACTCTTTGGTATGTGGGTGTTGTGCTACACTAATTTATGATTGTGAGCAGAACATATTGCTAGCCCCATGTGACTTCTATGGCCATTCTTATGGTTAATGTAGGTAGAGTGATTGACATATGGTAAATATTAAATAAACAGTAGCTCTTATCTTTTTCCTTCTCCTGCTTTTATTTTTCTCTTATTTCTGTATAAATATTTTTATATAGCTTTTTTAGTATAGCTTTAATTAGAAGTAATAGTAGAATTAATTCTATCTTTGCTCCTATGCACAGACATTTTTTGGTTAATTCAAGAGCTGCGTCTACATGGATTCAGTTTTTATTTTCCCCCAAAATCTCATTGCTCACACATTTGGAAGTCATCTTAGTTATCATGTTTCTGTAAATACTAAATTTTCACCCATTAAAGTCTACCAATTATACTTAGTGTGAAGAGGTGGGAGTTAAAGATGACTCCATTAATAGTGTTATCATTTGGCAGAGAGAGATAATTTTTTATACAGAAATAAGAATCCCTTACATTTAAGAGACGGCCTGAAAGAATCCCTCCAGTTTCTTGTCTATATCCCATGGCTGTTTCGTAGTAACATTCAGCTTTTCCTCTTCCTACTTTGTCTCCACTGCTACAAAAGCTCCATGAAGGCAATGAGAGGTAGGTCATGAACACTGAGACATCCTCAGCACCTAAGACATGGGCGGAAACTCACTGAATACTGTTGCGTAAAGATATACATCAAGTCTCTTGCTGCGGCAACGCGAGCGGGAGCACCAGGAGCCCGGGCTTGGAGCAGGACCATATGGCTTGTTTTAAGAAACTGGCAGACAAACCAGACATGGGAGAAATCGCCAGCTTTGGTAAGGCCAAGCTGAAGAAAACGGAGACACAGGAGTTGAACACCCTGCTGACCAAAGAGACCATTGAGCAGAAGCAGAGTGAAATTTCCTAAGAGCCTGGAGGATTTACTGCCCCTGTCATCTTCGAGATCCCAGTCCTGATGTGGAGGAAGAGCCACCTGCAAGATGGACACGAGCCACAAGCTACACTGTGAACCTGGGCACTCCGCACTAATGCCACTGGCCTGTGGGTCTCTGAAGGGACTCCCCCCCTGCAATCAGACTGCCAAATTCTCTGGTTTGCCCCAGGATATTATAGAAAAT